GAACTCCAAATAGCCATAACCAAAATAAACTACACCCAGACATACAATAATCACCATCTCAGAAATACAACATAGGAACAAAATATCAAAAGCTGTTAGAGGGGCTGGGGAGTCAGCTCAGTGGCATAAGTGCCTGCCTTGCAAGCAGGCAGTCGTGAGTTCGATCCCTGGTACCGATAAAAATGAAAAAAAAAAGCTGTTAGAAAAGACAGATCACCTATAAAGGAAAACCTATCAGACTTACATCAGACTTCTCAACACAAACAATGAAGTCAAGGAGAGCATGGAGTGAAGTATTTCAGATCCTAATGGAAAACGAAGTAAGATAGTTTCATGACAAAGACAGCTGAAGAACTTCATGATCACCAAACCAACGCTGCAAAGAATACTGAAAGACATTGTAGATAGACATAGGAAAAACCACTAAGCAAGACAGATAATTAAACAGAGTGGAAAGGTAAAGATGCAATAGCAGAAAGATAACACGTCAAAATAAACCAATATATAGCAGTTATAACCATTAATGCAAATGTCCTCAATTCACCAATTAAAATAAACAGACTGGGAGAGTGGATCAAGAAGCAACATTCAACCATATTCTGTCTACAAGAAACCCATCTAACCCAAAAGGAAACTCATAGACTGAAAGTCAAAGGATGGAAAACAATATTTCATGCAACAGGAACCCCCCCAAAGCAGGGGTAGATAGTCTGTTTGCAGACAATGTGAACATCAATCCAAGAATAATCCAAAGAGATAAAGAAGGTCACTACATACTAGTTAGGGGAAAACTTCAAGAGGAAGATATAATAATCTTAAATACATATGTGTCAAATTTGGGAGTACTCAGCAATACAAAACAAGTATTAATAGAAATGAAAAATCAAATAAGCATTAACACGATTATAACAGGGGACCTTAACATGCCATTGACACAAAGGGACAGATCAACCAGACAGAAAATCAGCAAAGAAATAACAGAACTGAGTCACACCTGTGAACAAACGGACTTGATAGATGTATACAGAGTATTCCATCCAACAACATCAGAATATACATTCTTCTCAGCAGTACATGGAACATTCTCAAAATAACCCACAGAACATACTTAAGTAAACGCAAAAGAATTGAAATTATCCCATGCATGTTATGGGATCATAGTGCCATGAAACTAGAAATTAATGATAAAAGAAACTGCAAAAACCCCATAAACACATGGATTGAACAATACACTCAAGCAATCACAGAGGAAATTAAAGAGTAAATTTAAAAATATATACAAGTAAATGAAAATACAATTGCAACTTATAGGAATCTATGGGATGCAATGAAACATGGTCCTCAGAGGAAAATTTATTGCACTGAATTCCCACCTCAGGAAAACAGAATGAACACAGATAAACAACCTGATGCTACACCTCAAATGTCTAGAAAAAGAGGAGCAAGTCAAGCACAAAGCCAAAAGAAGGAAGGAAATTATAAAGATAAGAGCAGAAATTAATGCAATAGAGACTAAGAAAACAATCCAAAGAATCAATGAATCAAACAGTTGGTTCTTTGAAAGAATAAATAAAATTGATAAGCTCCTAGCCAACCTTATTTAAATAAGGAAAGAAAAAACTCAAATTCATGCAATAAGGAATGAGAAAGGTGAAATCACTACAGACTCTGTGGAAATACAAAAGATCCTCAACACCTTCGAAAACCTCTACTCTCATAGGCTTGACAACAGAAGGCAGATTCCTAGAAACCTATGAAACCTATGAAATACCAAAGCTGGGTCAAGATGATATAAAACTGCTGAAAGACCCAATTTGTATTAATTGAATTGAAAATGTAATTAAGTCCTTACCAACAAAGAAGAGCTTATGCCCAAAGGGATTCACTGTGGAATTCTACAAGAAATACAAGAAGACTTAATACTGACACTCCTCAAACTCTTCATGAAGTTGAAAGGGAAGCAATTCTTCCTAAGTCATGAAATAAGAAATAAGAAAGGCCCCACCCTTCACACTAGTATCCAAAAAAGTGAAATACTCAGGAATTAATCTAATGAAAGAAATAAAAGATCTATTCAGATCTATTTCAGTGCCCTGAAAAATAAAATCAAAGAGGACCTCAGAAAATGGAAAGACATCCCTTGTTCATGGATAGGAAGAATAAATATTGTGAAAATGGAGATTCTCCCAAAATTGTTATATAGATTCAATGGAATCCCAATCAGAATACCACTAACATACCTCATAGATCTAGAGAAATCATTCCTAAAATTCATATAGAACCATAAGACACCTAGAATAGCAAAGGCAAATCTAAGCAACAAAGGTAAGGCAGGAGGCATCACAATCCCTGCTTTGAAGTTATACTACAATGCTCCTGTAATAAAATCAACATGGCACTAGAATAAACACAGACCTGAAGATCAATGGAATAGATTAGAAGATACAACTACATCTACAAACACTCAGCCACCTCATATTTGATAAAGGGGCCAAACACGTTCACTGGAAGGCAGATAGTCTCTTTAATAAATGGTGTTGGAAAAACTGGCTCTCCATATGCCAAAAACTAAAAACTCAACCCATGCTTATCATCATGTACTAAAATAAAGTCTAAATGGATCAAAGATATAAATATTAAAACAGAAACACTAAATCTGTTGGAAGACAAAGTAGGTAAAAACCTTGAAGACATAGGGGTAGGTAGAGGATTCAGAACAAGAATCAAAACACATGGGAATTAATTCCCAGAATCAATAACTGGGATCATGTCTTATTAAAGAGTTTCTGCATTATGAAAGAAATCTCCAGCATAGTGAAAAGAAAACCCACAAATTGGGAAAAATATTTAGTGAACTTTCCCTCAGACAAAGGACTTCTGTCTAGAACATATAAAGAATTAAAAAAAATCAGACCTCCGAAATTCAAAGACCCAATCCAAAAATAGGCATCCAAGATGAATACACAGTTCTCAGATGAAGAAATACAAATGGCAAAAAAAAATACATGAAAAAATGTTCAGTATCATTAGTCACTGAGGAAATGAAAATTAAAACCACACTGAGATTCCACTCATTGTGCCACTGAGCTATATCGCCACCTTATTCTTAGTAATTGATAAGCTAGGAGCTTATCAATTTTATTTATTCTTTCTCACTCCAGAAAGGCCAGGATCAAGAAAAGTATCAACAACAAATGCTGGAGAGGCTGTGGGGAAAAAGGAACTCTCCTGCACTGTTGTTGGGAGTGTAGACTGGTGCAACCACTGTGGAGATCAGTCTGGAGATTCCTCAAAAAGCTGGAATTGCAGTTCCCATCTGACCCAGCTATTCCACTTCTAGGCCTATACCCAGAACTGAAAACATTGTACCACAGTGATATATGTGCACCCCTGTTTATAGCAGCACAGTTTGTAATAGCCAGATCTTGGAAACCACCTAAGTATCCATCAACTGAGGAATGTATAAAAAAGATGTGGTATTTTTATACAATGGAGTACTACTCCAGCTATAAAGAATAATCACATTGAGATGTTTATAAGTAAATGGATGCAGCTTGAGACCATACTCATAAGTAAAATAAATCAAACTCACATGTATAAATACCATATAGTCTCCCTAGTGTAAGAAATGGTAAGAGTACATAAGAGTTTATGGTAATCATGGTTCCCCATTACATTGCTTTGAAGCCTTATAATGTTTTCATTCATTGGTTGGAAAGGCTTTGTTCTGTTTTGTTTGATGTTATTATGTGTGATGATATGAACAGCTATTTTGAAGAAAACAAGATGTTATGACAGCCACTGCAGATTTAATATCATCTTGCTTTGAAGTCCTACCATGCTTTTGTTCTTCTATTTCCATTGGTTCTATCATGTTGTGTCTTGTTGGATTTTAATATGTGTGATAGTATAAACAAATTTTTTATGGAAAATGAGATATTATAGAAGCTATTGTTCATTTTCTGTTATTTGGTTTTGAATGTCCTGTAATACTTTCATTCTTTTGAATGATTTTATATTATTTTGCTATGTTTGATATTATTGTATGTGAAGGAATGCTCAAGTATTTCAAAGAAAGAGACATTATGGTCTTTTAATGTTAATATCCGGCTGTCTCGTTGTGAAGTCTGTGTTGCTTACATTATTCTGTTCTGATTTGTTTTGTTTTGTCCTTTTTTGTTTTATTCTCTTTAAAATAAAATTTAAAAAAGAAAAAAATTTATTTATTGCTTTAGTCTTATTTCATTCCTACTTTACTTTTGATTTTCTGTTTTTTCTAAATTAAAAGACCAAAGCTAGTATTTGAAAGACACCATCTTCAACTTAGTCAGGAACTGTTGTACTGAATAGCATGTTCATGTTGGTCTTTTTAAAAGTGGAAAATAGTATGAACAGAATTACTAGGAATAAGGTGGCGATATAGCTCAGTGGCACAATGCCTTCCTGGCAAGTGTGAGGTTGTGAGTTAAATTCCCATTTGATCTTGTGAACCATGGAGGCATCTGGCTGGCAAAAGTTATTCTTTTAGATAAAATAAAATGGAATAGTTCATGGATTAAAACGGTATGAGAATTAGTAAATCACTAGAAGAGAGGAAGACCTTTGTTTCAATATAAGGGTCAAACCTATTTTAAGCTACTTTCAAAACCAAAAGCAAACATGAGAAGTTAAAAAATAATTCCCCAGAAGAAAATCATTTTTAATGTCTCCTTTTTTGGGGAATAAAGACTCAAAATTAAAAAAAATTAAATAGTAAAGGTAGCTGATTAACTTTTACATTTGTGTTGAGCTTCTGAAAATCCCCTGTTGAATCTGGACTCTTTGATGGTATTTTAGGTGACAGTAAATTAACATCAGAGAATGTGTTACACTGCCTGCCTTTCCATTAAAACTTTGTGAAATTAAAGTATATATTTTCAACATTATATCAACTTTAGGGATTTAGAAATGTATATGGAATAGTATTTTAACCATGTCTGAAAAATACATAAATTTATGACTTATAAGTTTATATTTAGATTTATTGATTACCAAAATCACAATAAATTCATATTATTAGGAAGAATCTCAAAATATAGGAGCTAAATTTTCTAACCTTACAGAAATGCAAGTGTAACAATAAGTGAAAATAAACCCACAAGAGTTTAGAATCATCACAAAGTTTTACATGTAAAAATTATATATGATCTAGAAAATTAATTATGGACATGTTAGGAAACTTTTAAAGATAGAATATCTTTTAAGAATATATCTTTAAAATAGTGCTCTTGATAAGTATGCTTTTTGTACTATTGTTTGCTAATTCAATTTATTAAGAACAGTACTCACAGAATACATTCATGCTGGAGACATGATTCACAGAACTAAATTTTTCAAAGAAGCAATTTGCTGTCACATTATAACAACAATATTTCATTAATAAGTTAACTATTAATTAGTTAACTATTATAATAAGCACACTTGTGTCATGAAGAAAATCTTCTTTTTACTTACATACTAGCTGAACTACATAGATATGCTATATTTGTGTTATTTATAGTGGTTTTAGAGTTCTGTCTCTTTGGCAAGTAGAAATCAATTTATAGCTTGATTACTGTTTTATTACTTTACTTTTGATTTTCTGTTTTTCTAAATTAAAAGACCAAAGTCAGTGTTTGCAAGATATCATCTTCAACTTAAATATTTGAGTGGTAGTCAGGAATTGTTGGACTGAATAGTTTTCAAAAGTTTCTGGTACATTTCTGACTTCAGAAATCTGGGATAGGAATCCATTTCCATATGCATGTACACTATTTTTTGAGCCTCTTCAAAACATGTTTGAGTGGGTTCTTGAATGTTCTTGATGATAGTTTCTCTTGTAGAACTGTCAATATTAATCTGAAAAATGAAATTACATGTAGAGCATAAATAAGCATTATTGAAAATAGATACATATAATTGAAAATCTTAAGGTAGTCCCCTTGCTCTTCACTGAAATGTGAGATTTTGTGTGCTGTTTCCATAGTTACAGGAGACTTATAAACATTTTTTTAAGTGTATTCTGTATCCACTTTCACATCCTAGAGGAATAAAAGAAATCTCAAGGTCCTAGATCAGGGAAGTCTCAGAAACCACTGCTTACTCAGGCAGATGGAAGCGGTTAGTGGTAGTCTGCAGATAAGGAAGTTTGTGAAATGGAAGTCTCTTTTTAAAGAAAAGGAAACACAGTGCTAGTTATAAATTTAGCTTTCTTAATAGTAACAAATCGGAATATGACTAGAAATGGGAAGAAAGTGAGAAATGAAGAAATAAAGAGGAGAAGTGGTTATTTTAGTAAACCCCAAATTTTCCATGTAGGAGTTTTGGGGAATAAGTCAGTAATATTTGACTATCTTTAGTGATAGAAGTCTTATTCATCATCTTTTATCTTTGTCCCCTTGACAGGAATTTCGATTCTTCATTTTTTCTCTTCTGGGAATGTTGCTGAATATCCTTTATTTGGGATTATTTTCTTTAGGTAGTTGGGTATCATTGGCAGTAACGCTGGATGTCTGGTAGCTTTACACTACACTGAGCAGTTAATCTCTGCAGCAGGCTGTGGTGGCTAAATGCCCAGCACCACTGGCGATGTGTGCATGACATTTTATGGCATTTCTACTTTATTCTGCCAAGAACAGTACTTCTAAGCATTGCCTTTTACTCTTAACTTCCCTAGGACTGGGAATTAAGCTAATTTAATGAGGAAAATTTTTGGAACCCAATAATATAACCATAAGTCCTAATGTTACTGCTAAACAACTGTATGACACTGAGTTAGTTAACGTTTTACGTTCTCAAATATCTTATCTGCAAATGTTAGCAATATTGAATTTTATAGCATTTTAGGAGACACTGAGATCTAGAGTGCTTGGCATATATGAATACTTGACATGTTAGTGCCCTCCAATGGTTGTACTGATTTTCATTTCTCATGAATATTACCTCTCTAGGAGACTGTGGTTGGATGTAGATCTTATAAAGCTTCTTCGCCCTAGAAATTCTGCTCCACCGTGAGGCAGTTTTCCTATAGGTTTCACATGCCATCCAGAATTTAATATTCTCGTCACTGTGCTCCATTTTTAAATATGCTGCATAGACTACTGGACCATCTAGAAGTAGTAGAGAAATCAATTCATTTTCATCAGTTAAAATTATAAAAAATGTGAGCAATATTTAATGCTCTTTCCAACAAAAGTCTGAATAAAAGTTCCCAAACATTTGATAAATTAATATTATGTATATGTCCATCACCCATTTTGATCCATACGTCTGTAGTCAGTGCCAGTCCCTGGTGAGGTTACCCTTTGTTCTCACTCATTCATTGGGAAATATTCACCAGGGGATGGCCAGATTACCAATGCAGATGGTTACATTACCAGTGTGGATGGTCCTATTGCAGATAGGACAGAAGATAGCACAAAGATGTAGAAAAAAGAATTAAACTGGACAAAACTCTGATGATGGAATTACTTAAATAAAATCAAAGACATAACATCAAATTGGTGGATGAGAGTAGGATTTAGACTTTAGACAGGTCTATTTTGGAAGGAAACTGTCAAGCCACGCAGGAGTGATCTCTGATTAGCGTGGAGTGCTTTTCAGTGTCCATTCATGTCAGAAGAGTATAGAGAGAAGAAAAATTGAACTTCATGTTCATGTTTTATGCTTTGAAGCAGAAATAATGATCAGGTAAGGAAAATGAATTCAGAAGGGCTGTTTGAAATTATGAGAATCTAGTAAAAGATAGTACTTATACTGAACATAACTATCAAATGACACTTGATGCTGAGATGATTACATTCATCTCTGGTCTTAAACTATCTTTTTAAGTGGGCAGAAAGGACAAAGGTCGGGGAGTTTTGCTCATGGACACACAATTTTGTAGGAACGTGTGTTTGAAAAGGAAATTAGCAGGCTTTCATAAATTTAATACATTAACCACAATGTTTAGGAGGATCAAATATTCTCAAGATTTAAAATGAATTATTTGAGATAAGTTTCAAATTTCTTTTAGTGACTATAAGTTCTCTTTGCATATCTGAGCAATTGAATTGATAAAGGAAAAAAAGACAAAATAGTTTTTAATGATGTAACAGAAGTGTGTGGGTAGTCACACTGAGTATATGACTACTTAAAGAACAATTGTTAGCATAGAATTTTTTTTTGTGAAAAGCAGAATATAATTTAATGTATATGATGAGGCATTTGGAAGTAATATATACTCATGAAATTATCACAATCAGTGCTGTAAACATATCCACGAACTCTAAAAGCATAGGATATTTGTTAACAAAATCTTGATCAATGTCATCAGCTGCTATAAGAAATAATAGTCTTTTTAAGATAGCAAGAGGCATTATGGTACCACTGTTGATCACCCGGTATTCTGTTTTTACATCATGTACTATGTCCATCCTTTTGTTTTGACTGACTCCGTTTTGTTTTGTCACATTTGGTTTTATTCTCTTCAAAAAAAAAAAAGTAATAAGAATTGTAGGAGTAATAAAACCCAAAATGTGTAATTGTTATTGTAAAAAAAAGAGGAAAAGAAAGTGCTCTAAAGGATATAATTTCATGTATGTTTAAGTGTGTAAGATAGAAAACCGTACTATTTTTTTTTTTTTTTGGTCTTTTTCGTTTTTATCGGTACCAGGGATCGAACTCACGACTGACTGCTTGTAAGGCAGGCGCTTATGCCGCTGAGCTAAATCCCCAGCCCCGAAAACCACACTATTAAGTTTTTGTTGGATCATTGAATAGAACTGTTTGCAGTCTCACTGTTTGAATGTCCACTTTTTATGCTTTAATTGTGTAACTTGAACAACTGTTTCTAAGATGACAATATGTAATCTATTAATAGTGATCTCTTACTGTTTATTTTTTTGAAATTCTGCATTAGTTGTTACTAATGCTTTTACTGTTTTGTTTTGTTTTTTCTCTTTAAATAAAAAATTTTAAAAAGAAATAATAGTAATCAGGTGAAATGGAAGTGAGTAAAACCATATTTTTCTAAGTCTTCAGGTAAATAGATAAAATTTTAGAAAGTCAGACTCCTTGACTTCTTAGTTTCTACATACTGTCAGCAGTGATATAGGAATAAAGATAATAGTTAAAATATTTTGTATTCAAAAAAAGAACTCAAATAGAGATAGATCCTTTGTATGGGAGCATTAGGTTGCCAATGCTGGTAATCTAGAAGAAATATGGTATCCTTGCAATGCAAAAACCTAGAGCATGATTTACTGCTATTATATGAAAAAAATGTACACTTAATGCCTTTGAGTGACTGGTGGATTGACAGAAACATCACTGAGGTGAAAGGACAAAACAGATGGGGGTAAAGTGTGTATAGAAATGTAGGAACTAACATAGATTAGGTATTCCTATTCACTGGGGATCATAATTTAGGTTTCAAATAAGAAGTTTATTTTAATAGCAAAGTGACTTTAAATTGTGCTTGCCTCACGATAAGCACAAAGAGCTCAGATCAGGGGACACAGGTATAGTAACTGGTGCACTTTTTTTTTTGGTCTTTTTCCTTTTTATTGGTACCAGGGATCGAACTCATGACTGCCTGCTTGCAAGGCAGGCGCTTATGCCGCTGAGCTAAATCCCCAGACCCCTGGGGCACTTTTTATAGGAAAGTTGAATAGGTAGGCAAAGCAAAATATAAAAAGTGACTTGTGATTTAAGAATTGTTGTTGAACATCAATATTTTTCAGTATATACTGAAATGATTCTATTAAAATGAAGAGATTTATATTCAGAAGAATTTTGACTAAAGACTTCACTAGGAATAGAAAATAAAGAGCTTAAAACCAAGAAATGAGCTATGGAACAGGAGAACGAGAGAGAGAGGAGAGAGAGAGAGAGAGAGAGAGAGAAAGAAAAAGAAAGAGGGAGAAAGGGAGAGAGAGAGAGAGAGAGAGAGAGAGAGAGAGAGAGAGAGAGAGAGAGAGAGAGATCACGCAATATGCTTCTTGGATGGGTGAACTGAACTGAATGAGTGTGTGGTGGTGGGAAGATAATCTGGGAGCCAATGTTCTATTCCAAATTGAAGTATGCCGAATTTGTATTTTTTATTCTATGTTTAATTCTATATTAAATGTTCATAGATTCTGACTCCAGAACTTATTTGCATCTATTCCTGCCTTCTCTAACTTTCCTCCTGAGAGAGCCAGTATAAGTATATTGGCTTCTTTTTGTATTGGCTAATAGTTCCACAATTCTTGACATACTTGAGTGCTTTGCTCATGAAGTCATCTCTGCATTACTATGCATTTTTTATATTTTGCAAGTTATAGTACTATATATATGTGTGTGTGTGTGTGTGTGTGTGTGTGTGTGTGTGTGTATGATATAAATACAGAATACCACAGACACTTGATATGGTAGCTTGTAACATTGTCTTTAATTATTCCCAGTCTTTTTCCTGTGAGAATTACAAATTTCCTTGTCTTATTATCTGCATTAGCCTTGGGCTTTTACATCACACGTTCATTCACTAACCTAAGAAAGTGTCTTAAGACCCCTCATGTGGTTCTGGTCCTCCTTTGTCAAAAGGAGAACATATTCTAGGAAAAAAAGCTGCAACTTAAGCTTAATGTCAAGAATAAAGACATGGAGCAGAGCTACAGCTTACTCCAATTGTCTTGTATCATGAATGAGAAACAGACTTCTCTTACTGTAAGTCACTGGGATTTTCATGTCAGTGGTTAGTGTATTATAACTTTGCAAAAGTTGATCTGGACTACTGAAACCTGTCTGAAATTTCAGATAAGATTTTAATGCATAGAATCAGTAGAATTAACTGACTGATGTGTTTTATAGAATTCTGTATAAATTCTACTTTTTGTCAGACTACACTATAAAATAATCAAGCAGCTGGAGTATATATGTATAGAAATGTTTCAAGAACTGTAATAAACACTAGAATAGGAATTAAACTACTCAGTTTAGAATTTCTATTGGTGCACACACCAAGGAAATTACAAGGTGGAAAATCTTTCCCAAGTCAGACAATGGACTGCATGATAGCCCATTCTGATGTTTTAGTGATACTCATTCCTGAACATTATGCTTAAGAGATCATGATTCTACTTGAGAAGAACAAATAAAGGTAAAAACAGAATTTCTAATTTATGTTGAGTGGACAGAAGAAATAGAATTGAATCATGTAAGTGTCTACCTTTTCATCAAAGAATGAGAATAGCGCCTTTGGTAATTACCAGCTTGCTCTTGTAGACTGGTGATTAAAATTAGCATTTCTATGACACACAAGATGACACATGCCAGTATTCCTGATTCAGAAAGAAAATGTGGGATTTTTTTTGGCTGAGTCAAAATACAGTCCTATCTTGTTGCAAGATTGTGTCTTTTAAAGGTGGCAAATCTTGTATCATGCGTTAAATTCTAGAGATTTAGAATCCATTAGAATCCATTAGTATACATTAGAAATGCACTGGGACCAATTTTAAACCCATTTGCTATTCAATCTACAACCAGGCATAATGAATTCCATAATTATAACAGAATCTATGTGAAGTTTTATAGTAAACCTGATTCATTAAAACTATCTGATTTAGATTCTACAATCTAATCAAATTTTACTGTTCTACTTTTTTTTGCTGTATTACTATAAAGCTAGCTTAAAACCCTCTGAGTTGTTTTTAATACAGAAAACAGCCAATAAATAGCAATGCTTTTACAATTTGTTATTTTTTCTTTCACCTGTTCAGTTCTTTGATCATATAGAATCTTGTATTTATCTAGTCTCTTAGTTTCTTTTCTCTCATTACTGAGACACCAAAAATTAAAGGGGGAAATGCTTATTCAGCTCACAGTTTATAAAGTTTTCAAGACAGAATGGCACATAGCAGAGGGACAATAGTTTATGGTGGTGGAAGACAGCAAAAGCAACACAGCAGGGGTGAGAGCTAAGACTCTTTCTGTCCTTTGTATTATATGCAGGCTGCTTGCTCTAGGGTGGGTGTACTATTACTATCCTTAATCCTAGCAAGAACTATGACAAACCAATGAGTGAACTGATGCACTAATCAGTACCCTGAATCCCAGTGTCACACATTGTAGATTCAGCCACCTCTGAAAAAGTCCAGTTGCTGGATGAAGCTTTGGGGAACATCTAGGCAGACTCTAACACTTAACATTCACTCATTTACACAAAGAGAGCTAAACACAAATTACTTATTGATACTATTATAAGAGGAAAACATTTTTGTATCACTATTGGTCTTTTGTACTTAGTATCAAGTATTAAATATTTTTTCTTTTTTCCTTTCAATGATCACACAATATTCCGCTGAAGGGTTAGGTTATAATATAGTCACCCCACCATACCCACAGGGATTTGCTTCCTGGATCTCCCCACTGTGGGAGTCTAAGTACGCTCAAATCCCTCACATAAAATGGCATAATATTTCCATATAGCCTAACATATATTATTCCTGCATACTTTAAACCATCTTTAAATTACTACTAATGCCAAATGAAAATAATGTATAAATACTTGTTATATTACACTATTTAGTAAATATTGACAAGGAAAAATGCTTGTACATATTTAGTATAGACTTATTTTTCCAAATATTTTTTGAACCCACTGCTGTTGAATCTGTGGATTCAAACTGACTGTATATTTAGCCATCCTAAAAGTATTGGGCATTTTAAATTTATCATCCCTTTTTGTTATAAATTATCAAACACAGAACATTTTAATTTATCACTTCTTGCATCTGTAATTGTTTTCTTAGAAATGATTTAAGTAATGTGATCTCCAGAATGAAAACATAATATTTTTAGAGATTCTCAGTGCATAATATATGGTAAAATTGATTTCAGAAAGACTTTATTATTTTTCAGTAAATGCAATATCAGTGTCTTTTCACCCTACTTTTTCTAATTGAATATCTTTCTTTCTTTAAGGTCCTGCATTTATCTCAGAATGAACATGTGTTCATTCTTTGTATGTTTAATGTATGTTTTGGTGCCTTTGTAAAAACTCAATTAACCATAAAGTGTACACATTTTTGAGTTTTCTACTATGTTCCATTTGTCAGACCCTTATTCAGCTTCGATGAAAACTTTTGTCAAATTACAGTATTTTTTTAAAAAAGTGTGTCTGCCTTGCCTTTGAATTTTATTAAGGATAATTTTTTATGTTATACCAATATACCAAAAGTGGGAGTTCTGTTGCTCTTTTCTAGGGGATTTTTAGGTTTTAAAAAATCATTTTTGCAGTGGTATTTTATATGCCACAGTGGTACATGAGATTTTTCTCCCATGCAATTGCCTGATACATAAGAAGTACTTAATTCATATTTATTCAATGCACATTGAAAGATACACACTTAAAAAAATCCAACATTTTAAAATACTTGTTCGTCAAAAGTGAATCACTGGATAACACCTAGAATGTGTCTCAGTTTTACATTTTTAATTTCTACCTAAAGTCTGAATTTTGCTATAATTCTGTCCTCGAATTGATTTTTTCTTAGATTCTTCTTTTCCATAAAGACCTTGATTTAATTGTATTGTGTTGGGTATAGTATTTATTACTTTATATCTCCTAAACAAATAACTAAATCAGTTTCTACTTATCTATTGAGACTCAGACTATTTCCTCCCCATGTAGAGTTCAGAATTACATGTTTCTTAGAATCAGTATTGTAATCCATAAAAATAGTCCTCTGCATATTACTAGCTCTCTGCTTTTCACTAGAACCTTGTCAATGTAAGCACATTTTTATTCTCTTGAACATATCATGCTTATAATATTATTTTTGTGGTTGGTTGGGTCATAGAATGATATGCTTTATTACTTTTTTTGTTACCCAATTGTCAATTTTTAAAAGACCTTCATTTAATGTTAATTTCTAGCAAACTTTTATTCTTTTTTTGCTAACTTTTATAAAGCACAGTTTGATTTCTGCCTGTTGTAATCTTTCTATGACTTTGCTTTATTCTCGTGACAACATATCTCTAAATTGATAATTGCACCCAGACAGATACCCACTTGAGATCCTTGCTAAATAAACACTTTTCACCTTGTTTATGAGGTCTCCAGAAATGGCACATAAACTTACATACTATGATGTGGTATTTCAGGTTTCCTTATTAATAGTTACGTTTTATTTATTCACTGAACATTTATTCCATTTGGTACAAACTGTGTTTTTAGTTCTCAGAGGGATGAAAGGTGAACAAGAGGCCCTATAGTCTTAAGGAATTTATAATTTGCTCAGCAGGCTACTGTAGAAAAACCTCATTACACAAGCTACCTACAATTAGTAACAGAATAAATAATGATGCTAATAAAATAGAAGAAGGAAAAATATTTCCAAAGATTTCATGGAAAAGATGGAATTTGAATTTTCTTTTCAAAAATAGAGGAGGTGAAAAGTACAAAAAGGACATTGTGCAAAAGTCTGCAGCAGTAAAAATTATAGCTATACAAGTACAAAATGTAGGACTTTTTCAGACTGGTGGAGGACATGTTATGTGAAAGGTCATAATTGGAAATAAGTTTTAGAAAATGTGTTGCGTTAGAGTGTAGGGAGTCCTGAGTATCAAGAACTTTTGAACTTTTTGGTATGGAACAAAGATAAAAGATTGTTAGAGATATACATTTTATTACTAATAGAAATACCAAATTTTGCAGGCCTAGTCTATAACAGGAATTGAGCTAGCTATTCTTTCTCCAACTTGTCCAGTAATGCTAAACTGATAGCTGGTATTATTTCCATTTTACCAGTGAAGAGTAAGTATGAAACTGCAAAGGGGAAGCTAATCTCTCAGTGTCACAAACATGTATTACAAAGTGTTAGGGACTAACATGTAAACAATTAGTAAAGGAGAATCGTCACTGGCTAAACATACACTTTTGTATTCCCATTTTAATTTCTTAAGTTTTACGTGATAGATTAAAAAATCATAGTCATACTGGCAAGTTGGATCACAAAACTATAAAGAATACCCCAAAAGTGAAAAGGGTAATTTTAAATTGCACAAAATCTCCCATGACTCCACATGTTCATTGGCAAGATCTGCTACAAAAGGGGAGAACTCAGATGCTGCCCCAGGATTGGAGGTGGAGATCCTGGGACTAGGCAAGGTCCATGATTGAGGTGTTTCAGTAGAAGTAGTCAAGGATTCACAAGTCCAACTATTTCCTTTTGGGGCTTGCAGGGCTTGTGTGTCCATATCAATCCAGGGAGAGAAAATCGTTCAAAAAATTGGGCCCACTGTAATACTTCCTCCAAAGTACCCTAAGAAAATAGCAACCCACAGAGGCAGCTATCTTGTCCAGCATAACTACACTGTACAAACTGCAATTGAATATTTAAGTAGTGTAGCTAACTCCCTTCTGCACTTGGTATCTCCAAGAGATTAAATCTTTACAGAAAGCCTAAAAAGAATCCCACAAAAAAATCTATAGGCAAAAATTTAAAAAAAAAAAAGATGAGGGAAACAATTCTATTTTTGAACAAAGTACCAAATTCAGTAAGAGAATTTTCTAAGTATCTGTTGCATTTTTTTCTGTGCTATTTTCTGATTCTAGTTTCCTACCCCAGACACAGGCACATTTCCCTTGAATTCACATCATCCTTGAATTTGCATCATCTTTATATTTTCCATATTGAGCCTATGAGTTTCTTTTTTTCATATCCATTGCTATATTTTCCCTTTATATCATCTGAAGTTTGATACTTAAAGTCAGAGCCTTATACCATCTGCTTAAACCAGATACTGATAAACTTTGAAGAGTTCTATATTGAGACGCAAATTACTTCTTAATTTTGAAAGTACTTAGAACAGCAAATTGTTAATTTTTGGAAAACACTAAATTTAGGATACTTTGGTAAGGCAGTGTATTTTAGTTCATTACTATTTCAGCATATTTTCTAAGAGGTTTATATGTATACTTGTGAAGAATAAATATCCACAGTGACTAATCTTGTTTTAATTAACACCAGAGAAAATAACATTGCTTGACATGACAAACTATTTTCAAGTTTTCTTTTTTAACTATGTCAGTTGCCATTTAGAAGGGGTGACAGGTGCCGCCTCTATTCATTATATAGTATCCCTTCCCCCATTAAGAATAAAACTGGCCAGTTAGCAATGCACAATACTCACATTTTGTAGTCATCAAATTTTCAAAAGATTGGGCCCACTGTAATACTTCCTCCAAAGTAAGGCTTTGAAAGGAAACAGAAAGCAGTAAAATATTCTCAAAGTTTTACTGTACCAAATAAAAATATTACCTTGAAAATAACACCAAAACATAATTACACTCCATTTGTATCTAGTTTTGAATGGAAATCTGCCTTCCTATGATTTTTTACATTTTATTTTTAGTGTTTTAAATTTATAAAAATTATAGTAAATAGTATACTCTTGAGATATACTGAAGTAAATACTAAAAACATAAAGCACTATAACTCATATCTCATTTACATATTTCTACTATTAGCATCATGATAGATTATTTCAATCCTTTTGTTATACATATATCTGTGGTTTTAATCAAAAAGTAATCTACTGTGTGTGCATGTATACTTTATGTGTGTATACTATTCTAGTAAGTATTTTATATTTCACAACATCTTAGTCATGCATAGTATTATAATTTATAATTATAGATTTATAATTTTCATCATATCTACATCATTTTAATGACTATATATTATTTAACAAGGGGACATTCCATAGTTTACAATAATTATTCTCAAAAACCACTCTGATTATCTTATTTTTCAGTGTTAAAACTAAATGTAGCCCAACTGTTTAAGATTTTCCATGCCCACCTAGGGTAACTTCCTAGACAATTGGTAGAAGTAGATTAAAAATGGATGAAAAAGGCACATACTTTTGAGGTTTTTGGTACAAACTGCCAAATTGATTTACATGGTTGTGCCTTGTGGGTTCCTGTCACCAACAAAATGTTTACCCATTTGTCTGTTGGCATCTTGGAGTTTATCCTATGTCAGTCTGTTTGGGGAGCCCAAAGGAGATTTTTGCAGGTGAGTTCCCCAAACTAAAGAACCCATGTATGCAAGATAACAGCAACAACAACAGGCAACATGGAGCAGAGCAGAACACAAGAGCTCAAGAGTGCAAGAGCCACCTGTGTCTTTAATGTATGATTCTTATACAGATTGTTATCTCATACTTACAAAGTGCTATCACCAGCGTTTACCTGTGCTAGGTCATAGTTATATAACTGTATTCTGCTTGTCCTGTGCTAGACAAGTGGGGTCACATCTCAGATGTTCTTAGATGCCCCTGAGGTCTGAAGCAGTCTGAGTGGTTTCCCCCATCCTATGTGGGTATACTCATACACTAAATTTAATATTGCTATATCTATCATTTTCTCAGTCTCTCATTTGCTTTATTTTGCATTTTGAGAATTTTAATTATAATATAGTATAGTGTATCAAGTAACATTTGACATAAAAAGTATAAACAAAGCTATTTACCATTTAGAAAGTATCTAGGAAAAGCCAGAGATGCAGGATTATGTCTTTTTCTGTCATAAGTTTCATGAGATTGAAATTGTCAAGTGACTCTATTTTCACAGACAAATAATTTTATTTTCCTTTTAAAAAATAGTAAATGTGTTCATTGCTATTTGGATTTTTTATTTTCTTGTTTTCAATAACTGGATATTATCAAAATGGCTCTGGATATAAGCACAATCTTTCCTTTGGCTGTTTAGTTCTGCGGGAACAGCTATCAGCATTAGAAGGATCCTAAGCCAATGAAGGAAGATTAGCTGAAGAGGTTAAAAAATAATCCAGAACATGGAAAAGTTCAAATATCTTTTATTTTCTAAAAATTGGCTGGATCCTGTCAGTTTTGGAGAGACAATTTGCACAGTCATAAAGCTTAACGGTGTATTGTATTAAGATTGCTTTCTTAAAAAAAACATTTTCATGAAATTATACCTCATTGTTCTTTTCTCTTATTAGAACTTTAGAAAAAGTAACCTAAAATGACCTTTCCAATCCAGTGAGATGGAAAGTAGTAGTCAAGATTTATTGGATGTCTATCTTTTCCACTCATTCCTATTTTACAGGAATGGATACAATCTACAAATTGAGGGAAGAAGTTGTTACTATATTGGGTAGCTTAAATTAGGTGTTGAAAGTTGTTGGTAAGAGAATTTTTGTGCCTATAAGGATCAAGAGATTTTTGGAGTCATATCATGTTTAGAAGAGTAATTATATTTATAGGTCAAGAGGTAAAATGAAATTTGTTTGAAGTCTATTTTTACTTGCAATCTTTTTCTTGACCATCACATGAGTCTCATGTTGCCCCATGAGTATCCAGGTGATCTCATCAGAATTATTTTAGACACTCCTTTTCCCCTTAGCTGCCTGAATTTCCTGATATAAATTCTCCAGTTTTGCATTCTCTACTTTCTTCTGGGCAAATAGCAGTGAGAACCAATCACACATGGAGATGTTTTGAGATGTTGTGAGGCATGGACCAAGGAATGAAAGTGGAGTCTAATAGTCCTATGTCCTAATCCCGGTGTAGTATTTAATAGTTTTTGGTCTTACTATACTAAAATCTCCAAACCTCAGTTTCACTTTCTACAAAATGGATACAATAATGTCTGTTTCATAAAATTATGAAAAAAAATCATTTCATGAACATAAAGCAATTATGAATTGTTGTTCGCTGTTATCAAGAAGTCTTTCATAAAAGTGAATTCCCTCTCTCTCTCTTTTTAAATATTTTCCTCATGGTGGGTCTATGAGGCAGAAAGACCCACCATAGCAAGAAATGCAAGCTCTGATGGTGTTCCTCCATGAAAATCATCAGTAGAAAAGAAGGTTGTTCTCAAAGAGCCTGTCACATCTTTCTCCTTGGAAGTACCTATGTAGCTTAACGACCTCAATTCATTTAAAATGTTGAAATTTTGGTCTTAATATGTATTTCACCCATCGCTGCTGCCTCATTCTTAGTACCACATAGTAGCTTACAAGCATTTTTGGATATTTGGTTCTTCAAGAGAGGAGCACTCAGGCGAGAAGCCCTAATCCTAAGGGAGGTATGGTGAGACCTGAAGTCTCACACTGTGCTAGGTTGGGAACTCATGATTATCTTAACAGGGATTTTCAACCTGGGAATTTTTCGAGAGAAGTTAATCCAACTGAAAGGCTTGTTATCCTTCTTTACAGAAAATGTTCTGTTTTAATTCAGTTTTCATTCGAATGGCTATAATTTTAGTTGTAAAAACTTCAGAAGATTGGTCTGTGAGCCTTTTTACTCTTCTGGTCTCATAACTTCCAACTAGGAATAGTCTCTAGCACTTCATACTTAGAGGGTTTGAACTGTGAAAATATTTTGGATCAAAAAAGTCTCATTTTAACAAAAAGCTTTAAAAATACTCATAGTAAACTCTACCTTAACTTGCTGAAATCTCAAGTGTAAAGGATGAATAATGAAAACAGAATATTTGTGTAATACATGATTGTTCTTCTGGTTCAACTACTCATGTGCAAATTTTACTTCCAATTCTGAATTCAATATATTAAGAAAACAGGTGAATACAGTTATTTATCATGCAATGAAAAATGCTTTAAAGTTGGCATAGAATTTAAATGTCACTTACTTTGAAGGTAGTCTCTCAGATCCACTTCTGCACATTTTACAAATCCAACAATTTTGCCTGCTCATTTTTCTAAATAAATATAATATATGTTTGTATAAATTAGTCACATAAAATTATATGATAGAGTCAGTTTTAAATCAGAAAAAATAAGGAGAGGTTCTTGAATCATGGGGGGTAGGGAGAAGAAAGGGGAGTAACATAACTCATGAATATGCAGTTAATGTAACTGATTTATTCATTAAATAATAGAGTTTAAAAATACAGATCTCTGAGAAAAATCTTTTCATGTAGAACCTGGCAAGATCACACAAATTCGTAAGGCTTCCCTTTTTTTGGACAATTCTTATTTTTAGAAAGCTTTTCCAACATATTGAACATAAATTTGTCTCTCTGTAACTAGTCATATAAAATAGTACAAATAATGAAATAAAAAATAAAACTCCTTAAGAATGAATTTCTATAAGGGCATTGTTATATAGTTGTATTCATCTGGGCATTGTAACTTTTGACTTTAAAATAGGTAAGGTTTATTCAGTCCAGGTACTTTTATATAACATTAAATGTAGTTGAGTTTCTAATTCAAGACTTTGAGAAAACAACTAAACAGTTTGTTAACAATAATTAAATCCATACTTTATAATGAAAGCTGAAAATAGTTTGCTAACTATCTGTAAGCAATGATGTACAATGAACTATGGAGGCTGATATGGTGAGTTTTTATATCAGCCTATACTGGCTGATTCAAAATATCTACTGAGTACTTGTTGTGTGCCAAGCTCTGGCTGTCAGTGAGTGGTCTGCATAGATCTTGTTTCTCTTTTCTCTTGCCCTCTCTGACGTGCAATTGGACTTGGATACTTGACGAACAGAGGCTGTGGAGAGGAGAACCATACGAGTCCTCAGAGTCTATAATGAAGGCATCCTAGTGAAAAACTTTGTGAGCTGGACCAGTAGACTGTGCAAGGAAGAATTGAGTAATTGAGGAAACCACTTGAGCAGAAATGAAGATAAAGTGGTCATTTCCTTATTGAAGAAAGGAAAGAAATATAGTTTTGACAGGAGTATCGAGTATGGCAGGAAGATAGCTGAGGAAAAATGTTAGTTAAGATTGGACTAATTATCTGCTAAAAATGTTCAGTGCAGCTAGAAAATGGGAGAGGAAATTGTAAGGGCGGGCTGAAGCCAAGAAGGTAGGTCACACAGGCCAGAGATTTCATATTAAGGAGTTGGAAAATCACTGATGGTAAAATTCAACACAGCTATGTTAACATTTGAAACTGGTTTGTGACTAGACCGGGTCATAGTATGACAAGAGTGGAATCACAGAGAACAGCTGGGAGGCAACGACAGCAGATCAGGTGGAGGGTGATTAGGAGGAGAAAGCAGAGATGGAGGGGAGGGGTTTTAGGCCTTGGGGAGCAAGAATTATTAGAACCTTTTGATCAAATATAAAAGTGAGAAAAGGACAGGGAAAATACAGAGTGAGAGATTAGGTTTCAAGGTATAAGTGGTCAGTTTTCATAAACGCTTAGAAGAATTAAAAATATAAAATGTCCAGGAAAAGACATAGCCCAAGATTAATGACTGAAGAACACAAACACTTGGAGAAAATACTTTAAATAAGAGGAACTTTCAAGTTAATACCAGAGTAGTATGATATTACAGAAACCAAAGAATACACATCAAAAAGGAGAGTTGCCAGTTAGTTAAAAACTGGGAAGAGAATAAAAACCAAAAGACTGAAAGATGTTGTCAGATTTCTTAACAAGAAGGTCATTGATGACCACAATATGAGCAGTTTTCAGTGCAGCAGGAAGAGCAGAAACAAGATAGAACCCAAGACAAGGAGAGCTTGTGTGGAGCTACTTACAGATTCTGTCTCTCTCTGTCTCTGTCTCTGTTTCTCTCTGTCTCTGTATCTCTTTCTCCTTTTCTCTGTGGTTTGTGAAAGATGGTGATATAATGATATAGCAGAAACAGAGAAGCAGCACTATGCCATTTGATCATCCTGGCTTCTGTATTTAGGCAGTATCATTGTAGTCTTCAATGTGAGCACTATGTCTTAAATATGGCAGATGGTAGCCATTGACAAAGATGGAAGACACAGGAGAAAGAGGGACAAACCGATAGTATTTTAAGTTTTGGATAAAAAAGTTAGGCTAGAATTCAGAATGCAGTGACTAGAGCATTGGAGAAGGAGCAGTATTAAAGAATTCACAGTTCTCTAATAACTGGAATGAAGTGAAGAAAGTCTAAGTATTAACTCAAGTACATTTGGAGGTTTAGAGATAAGAATTTATGAAAGGTATATTCTGGTGCATTTGATTTTTTATATGGATCCCTGCTGTAAGTGAGGAAGATTATGGAGCTAAATGTATCTAAAGGAGGAATAAAGTAAAGGTGAATAGGTTACTTCATTGATTAAGACTCTTGAAGGTAAGTATAGTTTCAATGTAGCATGAGCAAAAGGAAGAGTTTGTTTTAGGAATATGTTTATGTGAACAGTTAAATTCTAGATGACTAAATGTCAGACTCACAAGGTTGGTCTCTATTGTTGGTAATAATCTTTTGCAGTCTTTAAGCAGTATGATGCAAATAAAAAACGTTTAATACAAAGATAAATGCAACTAATTGAGAAATAATTGAGACTAAGAAAACTATTGCACTGACTGCTCATAATGACCTTTTGTATAACTGGATCCTGAACAACTTTGAGGTAGTTCAAGTGTCACGATTCTTCTGTCTGAGCAAGTACAAGATGTAGTATCCAACAACTATTATCCATTTTCTATGAAAAATAATAAATAAAGGATTTACTTTCTTCATATAGCCTCTCTGTCAGTTCAATTAGTCATCCTTGTCTTCTAATGGGATCTGACTTACTCTTTACCGTCTCTTTGACAAAAGGTTTCATATCCCCTTCTCTTCTCACCTTATCTAATAGAAATATATATATACACATTTAAACATTTGTTGGTGATGTATACACATTTTAATATATTGTTAGTGATCTCTATAACTCAGATGTATGCCATTGTGGTATTTAATAGCTTAATAGAGTTGTTTGGCAAAAGCACAAATTTGGTATGTAACACTCGCTGTGGTCAAAAGCATGGCAAGGGTAATTTCTGGATACAGCAGAATTTAGGGGTTTCCCACAGCTCCCTAGAGGTAAGAGAGTACATGCAAATAATTCTAGGCTCTACAACCAGATAAGCATGCACTTGAGTTCAGGCTTTTATTAGCTGTATGACCTTGTACATGTTAATTCAACTTTCAGATCCGCATTGTTCTATTCTCTCAAATGGAACTGTAAAGATTAGAAAAATAAATGTATGCAAAACTTCCTATTGCAGTTTGTCTGATCTGCCTTTACTTTACTTTCTTCTTGTACTTTGTTACTCAGGGAGTATTTCCTGAACTCTTTTGTACATATATGATTTTCTGGCAGATTACATTCCTTTCTTTTTTAAAATTTCATCTTAGATCCCACCAGTTTTCTTCATTAACTTTATTCATTCTTCAACATGTATGCATATTCTCTGCAAGAACTCCTCTTCATTTTTTTTGTTGTCCCTATGTCCCTCTTGTTCACATGGTATTTTAGTCTAGATCTCTGTACCTATTTAGTAGATAGGTCACAGTATTAAAATTAAAGTTGTCTACAGAGGTTCCGATATATCCTGAATATCACTGTGAGAGGTTTAAGCCACCAGGTGGTATTTATTGGCCCAGAAGTGCTGAGGGAAAAAGGATTTGAAGACAGTACTAAATGGGAAAAGGACAAGATGCCGGTACACCCAGAGCATCCCCTTAGTGACAGCTACACATGTGGTCGCTTCTACAGAGGTGCTTCATGGCAAAGGAGAGAGAAATGCAATCTATACCGATCATTCTTGTCAAGATAAGAGATCCCAAATAGGACTCTATTCATGTAGTGAAATAGCTACTTTTTCTCTAATTGCAGCAGCAAAGATTGTATACACTAATTGCAGCCCTAGGCATAGTTACATCGCTGATACAGAGGGAGGCTTTCTGGTTCCTCAAGAAATAGGACTTGTTGGATTCTGTGCCAAATACTGGAGTTCTGGGGCTCAACACTGCCCAGAACTTAGTAGCTTTCTGTCTGCCCACTAAGATTTCTGGAACTGACTATCTATCCATAGGTCAATATTTTTTTCTGTTAGTTACCACTAGATTTCCAATTACCATGTACCATTACTCTGCTGGAATATCATAAACCATTGCTTATGATTCACTCATCCTGAAAAAATAAATAAATTCACAAATACTTAACCTAGTTTCAAGTAAAAATGTCAAATTGACCAAATGAATTTATTACTTCCAGCCAAAACACTGGTAAAATTATATGACAAGCATATACAAAACTTAAACATAAAAGGAAAAGGGGATTTAACAAGGGGAAAGAAACAACAACAAAATATTTCAAAGTAATCTTGGAAAATGGAAAAACGATGGAAGAACAGAAATGAAAATTTACATACCGTTAAAATGAGAAAATGCAGCCTTTGGGATTTCCTCTACAAAATGAAGAACATAAAATTCTCAATCTAAGGGAAAAAGGATTTTAAAAATAATAGTACCTAAAAAGTATGTACAATACTGCATTCAATAATATTTAGCATTAAATAATACATCTCCATCTATAATTTACAGCAAAAATATGGACCGGCAGAGTCAAATACTAGCACATTCATGATTAAGAAATTTTAAGATATTTTTGGTAATTCTAAAAATGAAAGTTCTAATTTTCAAAAAATTACTGTTGTTCATGATAAAGATTTGATTAGTAAGTTTTATTGATGAATTTAAATTTGTTTTTATTAGAAAAATATAGGTAAGGACCTCTATAGGTTAATTTTATCCTTCAAATAAATCAGTGCATAAGTGAAAATATATATTAATCACAAAGATTCCATAGAACTACAGTTCTATTTTGGCTGAAAGAGAATTCCAAGTATATAATGACCTAAATTGATACAATGTAAAACTGATTTATATTCTAGATAAACTTACCAAGGTTCAAATCAACAAGAATCTTTTTTTCCTCATGTTGATGGTAATGATACGTAGAAATATTCCATTAACCTAAAAATAAAACAAATGAAAACAAAAGAGATCAGTGTGAGCTTCCCAGAGAATATGTACGCAGCAAGGAGTTCTAGAAATATCCTGTCTGAGGTTTTAAGTAAATAATTTTTCACTTTATAAATGCAAGAACATCGTCATCCTAATGTTTGATTTATTAACTTCTTATCTAGGGTTATGTTAATGTTATGGATTATTTTATGAATGTGTACATAAATATATTTTATTTATATTTTCCAGGGCGTTTTACTGAAATATATTTACCTTAACATGATAGAGTAAGCCTATTTATGCTAAACATTGCAATTTTTTGGATTTTAGCTTTTTGTATATATTACCTAAAAAATTGAAGGAACAAAAATTTGAAAAGAAAAATTTTTATTATGTTCCATTGTTATTGCCATTCCAAAAATTGAACACTATGCATAAGAAGATTAATTTGCATATATTTATTTTTCAGAACACTTTTGGTAAAATTAAGGTGCACTTTAAAAAATAATCTAAGTATAGAGTATTTAGAAGTTTAGTTTTCCATTATGATTTTTGGCTCCAGTTTTTCTCCTAATAATTATTTAAAAGAGCAAAAACCACTTCACTGATAGAATCTTAGAATGTTACAATTATTAATTATATTACAAGTTGGATATATATAGTATGGAAAAGGAATTCATGTTCCTCCAACATTTAAATGAAAACTTCAAGTCAAACAAAAATAAAAGAATTTTTATTATTTTTTCACATATTTAAATAAGCCTGATAGGAAAGTAATAAATTTTTTCTTTTCATACCTTGTATCTGTAAAGAAACATTTAATATGTTCCTTTATTTTATAATGTAGTATGTTGCATAAAATTAAGAAAAATCTAAAATCATTTACACTTTAGCAATATTTTGTTTGCCATAGTTCATGTATTTCATGTGTCCTTTATAAAATAAAGTAATTTGTGTGTTGTTTTACTTGTGGGCAACATGGAAAAATTGCATAATATTAAGATTAACCATGCTTCAGATAAACCTTACAACTATCCACACCTGGGATCCGCACAGCTAATAAACTGATGGAATTAATGTCTATATAATATGTAATTTTAAAAAACAAACTATTCTGAAGTATTTGATTTTATATCACTAACTAAATGTATACACATGTACACATGAAAAACATGTAAAATGAGGAAGCAAACTTCAAAACTAATTATTTCCTCTATCATCCTAATTAAAAGTTTCTTTTAAAGTAGGTGATTTTAAGTATAGAAAGTCTAACCAAGGCAAAAAACATGTTTACAAGTTTTTGTTTTTCTTTAGGAAAAATACTGCTAGTATTCCTATGAGTCTTATTATCGAAATCAACATTTGCTAGTCATTTATATCAAGCTAATGTTCTTGTACTTACCAAATTTTTTACGGAATCTCATACTTACAAATATAACGTGTAGAAGAGTCTACCATGGTGAATTTTAATTCCTTTTTGTTGTGATCCTTTTGAAATCAAGTTCGGAAATTTTATGGGATACCCAGCATCTTGTTTTTCCTGCACAAAAAGACTTCACAATCTCAATAATTACCTTCAGTGGCACACTGGACTCCCCATGAATGCTCTGTGTTTTACAGACGTGTATCTATGCAAAGAGAGGTTTTGTTGAATATGGAAAGTAGTGCTGTGGGACTGCAATGCATTGCTGATAAAGAGGTTTTATCTAACTCTCTCAGAACATCTGAAGTGATCAGATAATTGGAGCCAGTAACTTCATGAAATCTTCAATGTAATAGCCTAAACTTTTTTCCAAAATAATTTATTTTTCAAGTTATAGAAAATGGACACAATAAGATAAAATCCCTTTAAAAATAAAAAGAGAACTAAGTACAAATAAGTAGGCTATTATGACTGGTAGTTGCTACCAAATTATTGAGAACTACTAAAATCAACATGTTTAGAATAGTCAAATTACTAAGAAGTTTTAGTATTGAAGGATCTAAAAAAGTCACTTTTGTGGTTTAACCTTTCTAATTTCTTTATTTGACCTGCTAAGACAGTGTTTGGACTCTTCACATTTTAGTTTGTTAATATGCCTGTTCAAATGTGGACTGAACCAGTGCTTGTGATGACCTCTAATGAATGCAGAATATGGTGAGATTGTTATGCCATTGTCATATATTTAATCCAACTGTGTGTGTGTGTGTGTGTGTGTGTGTGTGTGTGTGTGTGTGTATTTAAAGAGAGTGATGGGAATGGAGAAATGCTAGCCTAGGACTGGAAAGATCAGAAAGATCAGTTGATGGAGTATTTTAAAAAGTATTTAGGACCCAGAGGAAGAAGTTGTCCTTAATGATTTTTAAGGTACAAACCTAAAGAAAATTGAATATATTAATTCAGCGATATGTATGATTATATATGTATGGTTATAAAAAGCAAATAAAGTCAGAAGTTCAATAAATGTAGCCATAAAACAAGAAATAAAGAGCAGAAAATGATTTTTGATGTTCAAACCTAAAGAAATTGAAAATATCAAAATGCAAGTAAGGCCAGAAGCTCAATAAACGTAGCCATGAACCAGGAATTAAAGAGCAGGATTTAGAAAATGGGAAGGATCTGGGTTATTTCTTGTTAGCAAGCATGTTCAATGGTTGCCAGTTGTCCAGTTTCTTTTTTTATCTCAGAAGGTGCCAACACTATAATGGTGAGTATCTGCAGGAAGTTTTCATTGTAATAATCAGCCCCCTTTCCCCACCTAATAATTTGTTTGTTAGAATTCAGGAATGTCTCCCTTTTCTCATGGTTTGTATGCAAGAAGGTGGCAGGAACATCCTGGAACAAATAACCTAAAAGAGTGAAGGTTTCAAAGCCTATAAAGGCATCAAATATGAACCTTTCAACAAGGATTGAGAAATAAGCAGTGGAGGGATGAGTAACCAAGGAGTGGTGCAAAGCAGTGCTTAAAGAGTTGCAACACAAAGTGTAGAGGCTAGTAGAAGATTTTCAAGTATTTTTTGTTTCCTTGAAGTAAATGTAGAAGTTGATTAATGGGATCAAAGTAATACAGTTCTTCAATTCTAAGTAAACACTGATTCAGAGCTGTTGGATCAGAACATGTAAAAGGATCATTTTTATCTTTGTTCATGTCCTTTTTCAGAGAGGCAAAATCTTTCTGATTAACTATGATTGTTTTTCTCTTTCCTCTATTTTAATTTTAGCCAAGCTCAATGTGTGTAATGAGTTAAATGTTCACTGTTAATATTTGCTATTTTTGTATGGTGAAAATTCATAATTAATGTCAACACACAATAATCAAATATAAAATATTAATACAAAATATTAAATATAAAAACACAATAATCAAATATTAACTATAAGTATCAAGAGTTGCCATTTATATCTTCTATATGAAAGGGAGATATAGAATGACTTGTTTTTTTGTGGTTTAAGAAATCAGCCAACTACTACCCATCTTAATGATCTTACATGATTATTGCTTTTTCTTTATAAGGTGGCACTTACGATAAATTCTTAGTGAAATGTATCCAGCAGTTAAAATTTTGTGTCACTGTTTATAGGAAGATTGGAGTTTGTTCCGGATTGAATCTGTAAGCCTTTCCTCTTTGCTCTCTGGCTGAATTTCTTTCTCATGTTTCATCTTTGAAAAATAACCTCCTTATAGGCTCAATGCTCACCTCGTGTGAGTGTGGCCTAAAACTCTGCAACACTAAAACTTGATCCACTTTCTAGTCTTATACCTTTTTCCTTATTTCCATGTAGAGACAGTTTAACTTTGTATGACAACATAAATTACATTACTGGGTGTGCACCACTGTTGACTTCACAACATGTACTTTTAAATAGTAGCAAAGATGAGCAACCCATTTTGTCTGCTTTTATTCAAATGACTTTCTATAAAGATGCCTTTAATTATCACAACCTCACCACCTTATAAACTTTAGTTACTAACTGTTATGGTTTGTGTCTAGAGGTCCCCCAAAGCCTTGTGCAATCTTAGATTTTTTTTCAGAAGTAGCTGAATCTATTTTGTGATTGATGCATGGTTCATTGCTAGGATTAAGGATGCTGGGATTAAGGGTGGGTGATTGCTGGATCAGTCAACTGGTTGGATTGGCATTAACTTAATCCCAGCAGTCTGGATAAGATACAAGGGGCAAAAAGAGGCTTATATTCACCTTCCACTGAATGATTTTGCTGTCTTTTGCCATCGTGAATGGCTTCCCCTCTGTCATGCATGTGCCACTCTGCCTTGGAGTCAAATAATTACTGAAACTCTAAAACCTGTGAGTTAAATAAACCTTTCTTCTTTTAATTTTGAGTGTTGGGTAGTTTGTCCCAGCAATAAGAGAAAAGTTAACTAAGACAAGTGTCAATCATTTTTTAATTTCCTTTAGTAGCTGCTCTAAATCTATTCTCTTCATCCTTCAGTAAGGTTAATGCAGCAATTGTCTCATGATTTGGATCTCCAGCCTAGAACTGACAGGCAACAAGGGTCCTACAGTGGTAACTCACTACTCATTAATTGATTCTGGGAGATACAATGAGTACCAAGAATAGGTACTATACTAAACAGGTGTTGTTGGCTGTAGCAACTTGTGAGACAATGACACTGATTAAGTCCTAGGTTGTTCACTGAATATCAAACAAACATCAAGTACTAGGACAAAGTTTTCACATCACAATGTGTCAAGTACCAAACTTGACTTTCATAGCAGCCAGATACCAAGGTATGACCTTACTTGGTTTCTATTTTCTCTTCCCTACCAGGTTTCAAGGTATCAGGTAGAATTTTATCTTTCTCCTCTGATATATTTGAGACAACATTAATGTAGTCAGGAAGGTGGTCTTCAAAGGAAGACAGTCTACAGTTATTTAATTTTGACTAATTTTGTCTATTTTCTTTTTTGGGGTACATTCCATCATTTAATCTATGCAGTCATCTGAGGATTAGGTTGACTATGCATCTCTTTGAAAAAGATTTGCATTGATTCTGTCAAGAAGCCTCGGCAGAATTATCCCAGGGCTGGTTTGTTATTTGCTTGACTTCAAACCACACCAATCAGGTAAATTTAGATTAGAAGCCCAGGACAGCATAGACTGGTATTATGCTGAAATAGACTCTATTGCTTGTCATTAGTCTTTGCAAGTGATTAGTTTTTCCTATCTAGTCTTTAACTGAAGGTATAGCAGCTTAAGGATCCCTGACTCAATTTGGGGCAGGAGTAGATCATGTTTTCTGACCTGCAAATGATCCTTATAATCAGATTTCTGAGATTAGAAAATGCTGAACTCTGTGGTACTTTCAATGCTAAGTATGTATTCTGGTTTAGGATTCTGTCTGTTTTTTCCTTGGAGAGTTCCCTTACAAGATTTACTGTTCATTTTTGTCCCCTACCATTTCTAAATTTTTTCCAGAGAAATTTTTATATACATGCCTACCTTACTATATTACTTTTTACTTTACATGAAATAATACATTTCATAAAAAACCAAATGTAATAAAATATCAAGAAAATTAGAACTTCATTCTTTCTTTGTTATCATAGATGGAAAGCATAATTATTTGTCTTTTTAAGTAAGAATGTCTTAAATACAAGAGGTTTACTGATGTGTAATTCCAAAGCTGAGAGTTATCTAGTTTTATATCATTTAATTCACTATTCTTAATATAAATCTGTCATTTTTGCTGTTTGCAAAGAAAAGCAAAAAAGAGAAACATGCCACATTTCCCATATTTTTCCTATTACAAATATTAAATTAACTTTTCTGCAAATCACTACTTAAAAACTTGTTGACTTAATCTTAAAACAAGTTTGACCCCAGGGCAATGGTGAATGGTATGAACACCCATATGCAGTCCATTCAGGGAGCCTATGGCTCACAGAAGTAGTAGATGGCTAGATGGTGCCTCAGGAAAGGGAAATGGGGAAGAAGTAGGTACCTCCTTTAGCTGGTAGATAGAGTCTATGAATAGAGAGCTCGGGATTCACCTGCATTCCTTGTCTGTCTTTCCACTTTTCTCATACATGCTTCAACCACACCTGCAGACATAACCTTAATACTGTTGTAATATATATTCAATAAGTATTTGATGAGTGAGTCAATATAGTCCCTTTCTGACTAAAATTCATCTAAAATAAAAACTATCCTTAATGTTCTTTTTAGCCAGTTTTTAATTACAAAAAGTTGTGGAGGGGAATTTTGAAAAAAAGTATTATATTGTGTGTTTTCTTCTGTCTTATATCTTTCTAAGACAGAGTCCTGTCTCTCTGCTATAACCTTTCTATAACCTATGGATGAGTCGTTAATGATATGTATCTGGAAATACTAAGCTTTGTAAGTATAATTTACACAAATATGTATTTTCATAAAATGTGAATTTAAACAATGGAGTCCTTGTTAACTGTCAAATAGGGAACAAGGATAAAATGCAGAGGAAACATTTGCCTTCAGGATATGAAAATAACATAATGAAGCTGTATCTCAAAACCTCTGAAAGAACATGATATTCAAATAAGATTGTAAAAACAACTGTAATGTTTGGAAAAGGCAAAGAATTAAAAAGCTGCAATCTTAGAAACTTCAGAAATGTAGTTTGATATT